TTTCACTTTCTCTTTATCTCTGTTTGTCTGTTTGTTTATCTGTGTTTCTTTTTTTTTGAGAGGTGGGGGAGGTGGAGGGGGTAGAGGGGGAAGGGGTGTAAAGGATGGTTTCAAAATAATGTTGTCGGGGGGATGTCTCTGAATTGCTGTTTTTCAGTGTTCCTTTCTCTGTATTTGTTTGTCTCTTTATCTATCTCTTCTCTCTCTCTCTTCTCTCGTATCTCTTCTCTCCTGTATCTCTCTCTCTCTCTCTCTCTCTCTTTCTCTTTCTCTCTCTTTTTCTCTCCCGTCTCTCTCTCCCTCTTCCTCTCCTTCTCCTTCTTCTCTTTCTCTCCCCTCTCCCTCTCCTTCTTCTCTTTCTCTCCCCCCCCCCCTCATAACCACTATATGTGTTCCTGTATGTATTTCTGTACACACGAATGTATGTATGTGTCTGTGTACGTCCGTGTGTGGGCTTTTCCCTTGGCTGGACGCCGGTCAGCCGCCCCAGAGTTGAGCTAGATATCATTAATCCTCAGGGACGGCTTTGAGGACCCGCAGGGGAGTAGGGAGGATTTTTTGTCCCTCTTTGCCATAATCCCGAAAGAGGGAGGGAGGGAGGGAGGTAGGATAGGGGGGGGGTGAGGGGAGGGGAAGGGGAGGTTGAGAGGAAATGGGAAGTGGTTGACTTGGCTTCTTTCCTCTCTATCTTCCGTCTCCTTTTTTTTTTTGTCTTTTTTTTCTTTTTTTTTTGGTCTTTTTGATGGTTCGCAATCCTTGGTAAGCTGGCCATTCTCAGACCAGATGAATGATGCTGTCCATGTGAACTTTCTGTTTCGTGTTTTCTTCTCTCTCTTCTGTGTTCTCTTTCGGTGTCGTCTGCTTGTTTCTCTTGCTTGCTCTCTTTGGTCTCTTTCGTTCTCGAGCTTATTCGGTTTTTATCTCTCTATCTATCTGTTTATCTCTTTTTGGTATCATTATTTTTTTTCCTTTTCTATATATATGTGTCTGACTTCTCTTTCTCCCTTTCTTTCTTTCACTTTTTGTCTTCTCTCTCTCACTTTGTCTTCTTTCTCTCACTTTCTGTCTTCTCTCTCTCTCTCTCTCTCTCTCTCTCTCTCTCTCTCTCTCTCTCTCTCTCTCTCTCTCTCTCTCTCTCTCTCTCTCTCTCTCTCTCTCTCTCTCTCCCCCTCTCCCTCTCTCTCCCTCCCTCCCTCCCTCTCTCTCTCTCCCTCCCTCCCTCCCTCTCTCTCTCTCTCTCTCTCTCTCTCTCCTTCTCTCTCTCCTTCTCTCTCTCCTTCCCTCCCTCCCTCCTCCCGCCCTCTCTCCCTCCCTCCCCCCGCCCTCTCTCCCTCCCTCCCCCTGCTCTGCATATCTTCACTATGCAGGCGAAGTAGTGAAAGTGGATGGGTTGTCAATATATTTCTGCTTTCTCATTCATCTCCCCTTCCCTCTCTCCTTGTTCTTTCCCTTTCCCTTCCCATTCCCTGCCTCTCCTCGTCCCTACCTCCCTTTCCCCTTCCCTACCTGGCTTTCCCTCCACCCAACCTCCCTTCTTCCCCTTCCCTCCTCCCCTTCCTCTTCCCTACCTCGTCTGACCTCCCCTCCCTCCCCTCCCTCCCCTCCCCCTTCCCTTCTCTCGTTCTCCTTCCCTACCTCCCCTACCTCGCCTGTTCTCCCCTCCCTCCCCCTCCCTCCCCCTCCCCCTCTCTTCCCCTTCCCTACCTCGCCTGTCCTCCCCTCTTCCCCTTCCCTACCTCGCCGGTCCTCCCCTCTTCCCCTTCCCTACCTCGCCTGTCCTCCCCTCTTCCCCTCCCTCCCTCTGTCGAGCGTGGAGACCGCTGATAGTACCCTGGAATTTTACACCCAGTAACGACGTGTCAGCAGTGGTAACGGATCACCGCCGGGGAAAAAGGAGGTGTTGCGTCATAGCCTTTGTTGAATGATGTCACGTGTCTTTATTTGCTTTGTTTTTTTATTATTCGTATTATCGTTGATATTATTATTGTTGGTGGTTTGTTGTTGTTGTTAATGTTATTAATATCATTATTGTTGTTTTTTATTTTCATTATAATTATTATCAATGTCATTCTCATTGTCATTATTATTTTTATTATCACCATCGTAATTAACATTGGTATTATTATTATTAAGCTAATGCCTTTTCATAGATTTTATGGCTTAATGGGAGGAAGGCATGTGGGGAGAGAGAGAGAGAGAGAGAGAGAGAGAGAGAGAGAGAGAGAGAGAGAGAGAGAGAGAGAGAGAGAGAGAGAGAGAGAGCGAGAGCGAGGACTAACAGAGAACAGAACACTATGAAGAGCAAATGAAAGGAAATGGAATTAGAATATGAGGAAAGGTGATGCGAAAAAAACACGAAACACTGAGAGAGAGAGAGAGAGAGAGAGAGAGAGAGAGAAGATAATGGAAAAAAAAAGTGGAAGAAGATTAAGAAAGAAATGGGGAAAGAAAGAAAGAGAGAAAGAAATCAAAACAGACGATTTGGAGGTCAGAATATGAGGAGGTAGAGGCGAGGGTGGAAGACAATAAAACGTGGGACAAGTGGACCATGAGAGGGCTTCAAGTGGAAGAGGAGGAGGAGGAACTTCAAGAGGGAAGGAGGAATAGGAGGAGGAGGAGGAGTTAGGGGGAGGAGGGAGAGGAGGAGGGGGAGGAGTTAGCGGGAGGGGGGAAGAGGAGGAGGAGGAGGAGTAAGGGGGAGGGGGGAAGAGGAGGAGGAGGAGGAGGAGGAGTTAGGGGGAGGGAGGAAGAGGAGGAGGGGGGAGGAGTAAGTGGGAGGGAGAGGGGGTAGTAGGAGGAACTTCAAGAGGGAAGGGGAAGGGGAGGAGGAGGAGGAGGTGGTGGGGGAAGAGGAGGAGATGGAGAAGTAGGAAGGAAAAGAGTAGAAGAGGGGAGGGGGAAGAGGAGGAGGATGGAGAAGTAGGAAGGTAAAGAGTAGAAGAGGGGAGGGGGAAGAGGAGGAGGAGGAACTTCAAGAGGGAAGGGAAGGGGAGGGAAGGAGAGAGAGAGAGAGAGAGGAGAGAGAGAGAGAGAGAGGAGAGAGAGAGAGAGAGAGGAGAGAGAGAGAGAAGAGAGAGAGAGAGAAGAGAGAGAGAGGCACGTGCCGAAAGAAATGGAGCAAGACAGTGCTACTTGCAAACCTTGATTCTTCCTGGTTCTCGGTTATGAGAAATGCGCTTCGTGTATAGGCCTAAGGAAGTTAGGTTTAAAAAACGAAAATGGATTGTTTGTTGCTTTATTAGAACGTGGAGAGTGATTACGTTGATGGTGAAACTTGTTTTTTTTCTTTTTTCTTTTCTCTCTCTCTCTCCTCTTTTCTTCTCTCTCTCTCTCCCTCTCCCTCTCTCGTCATTTAAGTAATATAAAGAATAAAAACCTGAAGGAGACCGGAAAGAGGGGAGGGAAGCGGGAGAGAAGGGGGAGAGGGGGGAGGGGACCCGAGAAGGGGCAAGAGGGGCATATGCCACACAATTGCCATAACGGAACAAAGGTTGCATTTGGCGCCAAAGAGAGAGAGAGAGAGAGAGGAGAGAGAGAGAGAGGAGAGAGAGAGAGAGAGAGAGACAGAGACAGAGAAGAAAAGCGAGAAAAATAAAAAGAGAGAAGGACGAGACTGACAACGGGGAGAGAGAGAGAGAAGAGAGAGAGAGAGAGAGAGAGAGACAGAGACAGAGAAGAAAAGCGAGAAAAATAAAAAGAGAGAAGGACGAGACTGACAACGGGGAGAGAGAGAGAGAGAGAGAAGAGAGAGAGAGAGAGAGGAGAGAGAGAGAGAGAGAGTCACGTGCCGAAAGAAATGGAGCAAGACAGTGCTACTTGCAAACCTTGATTCTTCCTGGTTCTCGGTTATGAGAAATGCGCTTCGTGTATAGGCCTAAGGAAGTTAGGTTTAAAAAACGAAAATGGATTGTTTGTTGCTTTATTAGAACGTGGAGAGTGATTACGTTGATGGTGAAACTTGTTTTTTTTCTTTTTTCTTCTCTCTCTCTCTCTCTCTCTCTCTTTCTCTCTCTCTTTCCTCTTTTCTTCTCTCTCTCTCCCTCTCTCTCTCTCTCTCTCTTTCTCTCTCTCTCTCTCCCTCCTCTCCCTCCCTCCCTCCCTCCCTCCCTCCCTCTCCCCCTCTCCCCCTCTCACTCTCTCTCTCACTCTCCCTCTCTCTCTCACTCTCCCTCTCACTCTCACTCTCCCTCTCCCTCTCCCTCTCTCGTCATTTAAGTATATCAAGAATAAAAACCTGAAGGAGACCGGAAAGAGGGGGAGGGAAGCGGGAGAGAAGGGGGAGAGGGGGGGAGGGGACCCGAGAAGGGGCAAGAGGGGCATATGCCACACAATTGCCATAACGGGAACAAAGGTTGCATTTGGCGCCAAAGAGAGAGAGAGAGAGTCACGTGCCGAAAGAAATGGAGCAAGACAGTGCTACTTGCAAATACCTTTATTCTTCCTGGTTCTCGGTTATGAGAAATGCGCTTCGTGTATAGGCCTAAGGAAGTTAGGTTTAAAAAACGAAAATGGATTGTTTGTTGCTTTAATAGAAAGTGGAGAAAGATTACGTTGATGGTGAAACTTGTTTTTTTCTTTTTTCTTTTCTTTTTAATTGGGAGATGATATCTTATTTTCTTATGGTGAGGCTCATTTTTATTCTTGGCTACTTTATTGAGCGTCATTATCTGATTTTCGCAATATAACGAAACTCATTGTTATGTTTTCTCATTTCTTATAACAAGACTCTCTATCTCATTTTCTAACAAAATTGACAGTCTGTGTTCATCTGAATTCATTCATAAATTGAGACTCGACCATTGTCATACTCTTTTATATTTTCTTTCTTTCTTCTTTCTTTTTTTCTTTTCTTTTCTTTTTTTTCCTTTTCTTCTTATCCTTTTTTCTTTCTTTCTCTTTCTTCTATTTTTTGCGAGACTCATTCTTTATCTCCTCCCATTTATTTATTTTTTTTTTAAAGCAAAACTAACGAATTTTTTTTCTCTTCTCTTTCCCCGCAGGCGATATCTACACGTCGTCATGGCTAGACCGGGAGACAGCGTCCAGGTACTGGCTGAGCGTCCGTGCCCAGGACTCAGGCACGGTGCCCAAACACGCCACGCTGCACGTAAGTTCATGGGTGTTCATTTGTTTTGATTTTGGTTTGTTTTGTTTTGAGGGAAAGTGAGAGGAATGGAATGAGAGAGGGTTAGGGGGTGAGAGAATGAGAGAGTGAGAGTGGGAGACAGAGAGAGAGAGAGTGGGAGAGAGAGAGAGAGAGAGAGAGAGAGAGAGAGAGAGAGAGAGAGAGAGACAGAGACAGAGACAGAGAAGAAAAGCGAGAAAAATAAAAAGAGAGAAGGGACGAGACTGACAGACGGGGAGAGAGAGAGGAAAAGTAAAGACATAAATAGATAAAGACACACAGACAGCCATAGTGATAGAGACAGACAGGAATCTATATAGATGAAAATAGAGCGACCCTGAGCGACAACTCTAAAGAGATTATCGTGTGTGGTCGTACTCATATTAGTCCCATTAGTGACATCACCGTGACATTATTTTAGTGACGTCACGGGGACATTTTCACTCCCTCCCCCTTCCCTCCCCTCTTAGTGATATCACAGTAAAATCATTTTGACCCCGTTAGTGACGTCACAGTGACATTTTGACCCCGTTAGTGACGTCACAGTGACATTTTGACCCCGTTAGTGATGTCACTGTGATATTTTGACCCCGTTAGTGATGTCACAGTGATATTTTGACCCCCCTTTTGCGACGTCAGTGATATTTTTGTCCCTGTTTGTAACGTCATAGTGACATCATTTTTACCACAGTGACATCTCTCTCTCTCTCTCTCTCTCTCTCTCTCTCTCTCTCTCTCTCTCTCTCTCTCTCTCTCTCTCTCTCTCTCTCTCTCTCTCTCTCTCTCTCTCTCCCCCCCCCCCCCGTGTCCTGATCCCGGTCGGAGAGATACGACTTTGGCATTTGTTTGTCTGCGTCCGTATTCGTGCATTATTTTATACTTAAATCTCCATTCACGCGTTCGGTTTGTTTGCGTTGGCCTCGCGTGCAACAGCTCGGTGCAACAGATCCACTCGTATCACAGTGGTTGCAGCTGTTGCATGCACGAGCGACGGCCAAAGCAAGATCGCATGGCCGTGCGTGAGTGCTTGTGTGGATAAGGGGTGGGGGAGGAATGGAAAGGGGAGGGGAGGGGAGGGAGGGAGAGAGAGGTAGAGGAAGAGGGGGAGAGGTAGAAGAGGAAGAGGGAAGGAGTGGGAGGAAGGGTGGGGGTATAGAGGGAGGGGGAGGGATGGAGGAGAAAGAGGGAGAGGGAAGGGAGGGGTAGAGAATGAAGGGGGAAGGAGGGGGAGGAAGGGGAAGAGGTAGAAGAGGAAGAGGGAGGGAGGGGGAGTAAGGGGAATGGGGAGGGGAGGGGGAGGAAGAGGGAGGGAGTGGGAGGAAGGGGGAAGGGTGGGGAAATGGAGGGTGGGGGAGGGATAGAGGAGAAAGAGGAAGTGGGAAGGGAGGGGTAGAGGAGGAAGGGGGGAAGGGGGAAGGTAGGGGAAGAGCAGATGAAGAAGGGGAAGGAGGAAAGGGAGGATAGTCAGATGTAGTGTGGGTATGGGTATGGAGTTATGGGGGTGAGGTGGGGGTTAAGGGGGTAGCATACAGTTTCGCTAACAAGGTGATTCGTGGTTTTGGTCGTAACAGCCGCGTGTGTAGACGATTCATAGAAAAATAATAAATTAAAGCGAATCTCATTTCTACTTTGACGAGATTTAGTCTAAAGCTGCCACGGGTAAATCCGAGCAACATCCGAAAATATATCGTAAAGAGTGAACCATTTATTACCGACAGCTATTGTGTTTTTTTTTTGTTTTTGTTTTTTTGCAAAGGTGTCCGAGTGGGCGGCTCTTGCCAGCACGCTCCGGGATGGAAATCCAGATGGACGGATGGGAACAGATTGGAGAGATAGACATTTAGCTGAACGGATGTGAACAGATTAGAGAGAGACATTTAGCTGAACCATTGTGAACATAGTGAAGAGATAGACATTTAGCTGAACGGCTGTGAACAGATTGGAGAGATAGACATTTAGCTGAACGGATGTGAACAGATTAGAGAGAGACATTTAGCTGAACGGATGTGAACAGATTAGAGATAGACATTTAGCTGAACGACTGTGAACAGATTATAGGGATGAAATTAAGCTGAGTGACTGTGAACAAACATGGAGAGAGACATTTTAGATTTAGCTGAACAGCTGTGAACAGATAACAGACACGCCAGCTCGTCTGACCTGGGCGAGTGAGTGAGTGAGTGAATGAATGAGCGGGTGAGACAGCGGGCGCGCGGGATCTGGGCGGGCGAAAACCGTCTTTGTGGATGAATGGATGAATGAAGCGACTTCTTTGGAGGCGCCTCAATCATCCTGACGGCGCTGGGTCGTTGACTACAAAATCCGGGGCCGCATTTCCATAACTTGACTAACATGGCGAGTCGGGCGGCGGGTGAGTGGGCGAGAGGAGAGAGAGGGCGCTACTTGGGACCCCACGCACGTACGCGGGCGGGTGTACACATGCCCCCACACGTGCGTACACTCTGGCACGTGCGCACGCATGCAGACACACATGCACATGCGCATACACACACATGCCCATACATACACGTGCACAAACACATACAAACAAACATATTCTCTCTCTCTCTCTCTCTCTCTCTCTCTCTCTCTCTCTCTCTCTCTCTCTCTCTCTCTCTCTCTTCCCCTCTCTACCTCTCTCCCTCTTCCCCTCTCTACCTCTCTCCCTTTCTCTCTCTTTCTCTCCCCCCCCCCCACTCCCTCCTTCACCCACGCACCCACTCACTCACAAAGACAAACAATACACTCACTCACCATCGCGCTCTCTTATCTTCCTCGTATCGTTCCTCCTTTTCATTCATTCTCTCTCCCATTTATCTCTCCCCCCCTATTTCATCCATTCTCTCATCTGCCATTTATCCCTTTCCCCCATTTATCCCTTTCTCCCATTTATCCCTTTCTCCCCATTTATCCCTTTCTCCCATTTATCCCTTTCTCCCATTTATCCCTTTCTCCCATTTATCCCTTTCTCCCATTTATCCTTCTCCCATTTATCCCTTCCCCCCATTTATCCCTTCTCCCCCATTTATCCCTTCTCCCCCTTCCTTTCCATTCATTCTGTGCTGTTCCTCTGTATCTCGTTTGCGTGCGCCGAGAGACTTCTCTTCAGCCTATCTCGGTGCGTGCGGAGGGGGGGGAGGGGCGGGCGGGGCGAGGCCGCTGCATAACATGTACTAACGGGACTCTTAAGCGAGGTGAAAAAAAAAGAAAAAAAATGTATGTGTGGACTTCTTTGGTTGCAGCGCCGGTCGAAGGGGTGGGTAGGGGGGTGGGTGGGTGTGGTGGGGTGGGAGGGAAGGAGAGCGTGTGACTGGAGAGATGTAGGTTGCAAGATGGGAAGGGATTGTCTCTTATTCTATTTTCTCTCTGTCTCTTTCGGTCTCGCTCTTACTCTTTTCTCTCTCTCTCTTTCGGTTTCGCTCTTACTCTTCTCTCTCTCTCTCTCTCTCTCTCTCTCTCTCTCTCTTTCGGTTTCGCTCTTACTCTTTTCTCTCTCTCTTCCGGTCTCGCTCTTACTCTATTTTCTCTCTCTCTTTCGGTCTCTTGCGTCCTCTTTTCTCTCAGTCTCTCTCATTCTTTTTACTTTTTTCTTTATTCCCTCCCTTACTTTGCCTTTCTTCCTTAATTTTGTCTCTTTCTTCCTCCTTCCTTCTCTTCTTTCTTCTCTTTCTTTTATTCTCTCTTTTACTCACCCTTTCTTACTGCATTCCTTCTCTCGCACGGGTATTTGCAAACGGAGACGAATATGTACATGCACACACATGCATGCATGCATACACACACACACACACACACACACACACACACACACACACACACACACACACACACACACACACACACACACACACACACACACACACACACACATACACACACACACACACACACACACACACACACACACACACACACACACACACACACACACACACACACACGCACACGCACACACATATATATATCTGTATACACGCGCATTGGAAATACGCACATGTACATATTTTTCATTTTCCTTGTAGTTACGCCCTCTTCCTCCCATCCTCCCTCCTTCCCTCCCTCCCTCTCTTCCTCCTTTCATTCCTCCTTTCCTGCACCCCTCTTTCTTTTCCTCCATCCTTCTCTCTTTTACTTCTTCCCTTCTTCACTTAATAAACTAAAAACAAAAAAAAAATGGAAGAAATAAATGACAAATAAAGAAAAAAAACGAAATATGAATAAGAGATAAGAGAAAAGAGGGATTAAGAATACACCAAACGGAAAGGAAAGAAAGAGAATAAAGAGAGAGAGGAAGGGATAAAGGAAGGAAGAACATTATCGGTACGTCTATTGAAACCCGGTCGTGTGTTCCTCCTGATATGCGAATTGTCGCTCGTTAATTGACACTTAATGAATCCTGTCGACGGAAGCTCCTCGCGTGGGGGGGGGGGGGGGGAGGTGGGTGTGGTGGGTTTGGGTGGTTGGTGGGTGTGGTGGGTGGGCGGACGGTCGGCGGTGGGCGTGGTGGGTGGATGGATTTATTGAAAGCTGGCGGACAGAGATAGAGATAGGCAGATAATAAGGTAAGAGAGAGAGAGAGAGAGAGAGAGAGAGAGAGAGAGAACGATGATGGGGAGGATTGAGAGTGAGTGAGACAGACAGACGGAAAGACAAAAAGACAGACAGTGAGAGACAGAGCCAGAGACAGTGTGAAAGAATGAGAGAAAGAGTGAGAGAGGGGGGAGGGGGGAGGGGGGGGGATCAGGTCGACGAGGAGTGGATGAGGAGGTAAAATGGGCGCCTGCTTAATCATCAGTAGACTCAACAACATCTTGACGGCTCCTGGGGAAGTCCTCCTCCCTCTCCCCCCTAATTCCCTCCTCCCTCTCCTCCTCCCCCCTCTCCCTCCCCCCTCTCCCCACTCCGCATTCTCCCCCTCTTTCATCTCCCCCCTTCCCCCTCTTCCCTCCTCCCTCTCCCCTCCTCCCTCCCCCCTCTCCCCTCTTTCCTCCTCCTTCCTCCCTTTTTCCTCTCCGCCCTCCCCCTCCCCCCTCTCCCCACTCCTCACTTTCCCCCTATTTCCTCTCCTCCCTCTCCCCCTCCCCCCCTCTCCGCCTCCCCCCCTTTTCCTCTTCCCCTCCCCCCTTTCCTCTCTCCTCTCTCCCCTCTTCCCTCTCCCCCTCTCCCTCTCTACCCTCCCTCCTCCCTCCCCTTTCTCCGTTCTCTTTTCTCATTTCCCCCTTTCTCCCCTCTCCTCCCTCTCTTCTCATCTCCTCCACGCCATCTCCCCCTTTCATCCTCTCCCCCCATCTCTCTCTCTCTCTCTCTCTCTCTCTCTCTCTCTCTCTCTCTCTCTCTTTCTCTCTTTCTCTCTTTCTCTCTCTCTCTCTCTCTCTCTCTCTCTCTCTCTCTCTCTCTCTCTCTCTCTCTCTCTCTCTCTCTCTCTCTCTCTCATTCACCCCCACTCCCCCTTCTCCCCCTTCTCCCCCCCACTTTACTCCCGAGTCATCAAAGAGGGAAAAAAAGCGAGAGATAAGGAGAAGGATCTTGGCACCTTTTGAGAGACTGGTGGAGGGAGGAGGGCGTTGGAGGGTGTTGGAGGGTGCTTGTTGGTCACACTTTGCGCTTGTCCTCCCCTCCCCCACCTCCCCCTCCTCCCCCTCCTCCCCCTCCACACACCCCAACACTCTTCTTAGCACACACGCCCTCCCTCCCCTCCCTCCCTCTCTTCCTCCTGCTTTTCATCCACTTACAAACGAATCATTTCCCACTTACCACCACTTTGCCCCCCACCCCCCCCACCACATTCTTCCTCGCATTTCCCCCACTAAGTGTCTTTCCCACATTTTCCCCACCACGTCTTCTCCACATTTCCCCTCTGCATGTCTTCCCCACATTTCCCCCACCAAACGCCTTCAACACATTTTCCCCACCATGTGTATTCCCCATATTTCCCCCACACTCCACTTCCCCCTCCCACCACTCTATCCCCTTACACTTCCCTTCACTCTGTCCTTCCCCACACTCTCCCCCACTCCTTTTCCCACCACGCCCTTCCCCCTTACACACCCTCCCACCCCATTCCCCACACTATTCCCCTCCCCCATGTTCTGTCCTTCCTCACGTCTCCCCATTCCGTTTGTTCCCACCTCACCATCTCTACACGCACTCACTTACTCGCACTCAAACTCATACTCTCTCTCACACTCACTCACACACACACTCACTCACTCACTCACTCACTCACTCACTCACTCACTCACTCACACACTCACTCACACACTCACACACTCACACACTCACTCACTCACACACTCACTCACTCACTCACACTCACACACTCACTCACTCACTCACTCACACACACACACACACACACACACACACACACACACACACACACACACACACACACACACACACCACCCTTCCCCCAACTCCATTCCCCACTCCATTTCCCCCCACCCCCCACCCACAGAGGTCACCCCCATTCCTCCCCCCCCCCCCCCACCCCCCTGGCCCTTGACATACTCGTACTGTGCTGCCGCGGCTTCAAAGCTGAGTTTCATCGCTTTCATGCGTTTGTTCTAATAATATCCGTGAAAGAGGGAGATGGAGAAAGAAAAGATAGAGGGCGTGAGAGAGAGAAAGAGTGAGTGAGAGAGAGAGAGAAAGTGAGAGAGAGAGAGAGAGAGAGAGAGAGAGAGAGAGAGAGAGAGAGAGAGAGAGAGAAAGGTGAGAGAGAGAGAGAGAAAGGTGAGAGAGAGAGAGAGAAAGGTGAGAGAGAGAGAGAGAGAAAGGTGAGAGAGAGAGAGAGAGAGAGAGAGAGAGAGAGAGAGAGAGAGAGAGAGAGAGAGAGAGAGAGAGAGAGAGAGAGAGAGAGAAAGACTAAGAGTGTACTTGCATTTTCTCTTCCTCAGCATTGTATCTTCCTTGTCCTCAGTATTATCACCCCCTCTCTCTTTCTCTCATTACCATCCCCTCTCCCTTTCTCTTACTATCGCTATCCCTTATTTTTACCCTCTCTCTCGTTTCATCATTATCAACCCCTGTCTCTCTTTCTCACTCCCATCCCCTTCTCTCTCTTATCGCCCCCCCCCCCTCCCTCTCTTTCTGATTGTCAACCACTCCCTCTTTCTCATTCTGTTATCGCCCCTCTCTTCTCTTATTTTTTTCCTCTCTTTTTCTCTTATACTTTTTCCTCTCTCTTTCTTTTATACTTTTTCCTCTCTCTTTCTTTTATCACTATCACCCTTTTCTCTTCCTCATTATCATCATCTGCTCTCTCTTTCTGTCTTATCATCATTCCCCAAGCATCAGCCACCCCCCTCGCTCTCATTCCCTTATCACCACCCCCTTCTCCCCCCACCCCCCAATCACCACCCCCTTCTCCCCCCACCCCCCAATCACCACCCCCTTCTCCAACCCCCCCCCCCATCACCACCCCCTTCTCCAACCCCCCGATCACCACTCCCCTTCTCCCATTCCCATATTATCTCCCCCTCCCCCCTCCCCCATTCCCATATTATCTCCCCCTCCCCCCTCCCCATATTATCTCCCCCTCCCCCATTCCCATATTATCTCCCCCTCCCCCCCTTCTCCCATTCCCACATTATCTCCCCCTTCCCCATTCTACAATATTACCTCCTACCTCCTCCCCCCCCTTCTCCCCCTCCAACCTTTTCTAACTCTCTCCCTCATTTTCTCTCTCTCTCTCTCCCCCCACAGGTGTACGTGCAGGTGGAGGACGTGAACGACCACCACCCGCTGAGCTCGTGGCCCGTGTACTGGCCTGGCGTACCCGAGAACTCCCCTCCGGATACGGTGGTGGTGACCGTCGAAGCAGCTGACCCCGACCCGTCCGCCAACATCACGTACGAAATCTCGGGAGGGAATCCGCAGTCCATTTTCACCATCGATGCGAAGACGGGTGAGTGTTGTTGTTGTTGTTGTTGTTGTTGTTGTTTTTTTGGTGGTGTTGATGGTTTTGGTAGTGTTGGTGGTAGTGGTGTTTTTTTTTTTTTTTTTTGGTGTTGTTGGTGGCGTTAGCGTTGGTAGTGTTTTTGGTGTTGTTGGTTTTGGTGGTGTTGGCGTTCTGTTAATATTCAAGATAGATGAGTAATTGGTCTTGTTCGACGTCGTTCTGTTAACTTAGCAGAAGTTAACGGAAGCAGAAGTAAGGTTTCATTATGGCGGTTAGATCTTGGCTTAGGACGCCGGTACTATACTATTTTTGTTATTTTTTATTTATGTTTATGTATTCTTATTTATTATTTGTTATTATTATTTATTATTTATATATATCATTAATTTATTTATGATTATTTTATTAATTTTTCTGACGAAGGAAGGGAATGAACGTCCGTGAAGCGCAAGACATCGACAAAGTACTGTTAAAAATGCAGCAAGAAAAAATGCATTTTCGTGTGTGTGTGTGTGTGTGTGTGTCTGTGTACAAGTGAAATCCTGTTTATCATCATTTATCGTCTTCTTTCGCTTCCACCTCTTCCTTTTCCTCCTTCAAGTCTTTATTTTTATTTTTCCTATTCATCTGTTTTTTTTCCTTTTTACTTTTCTTTCTCTCTCTTGATTTTCTTTTTATTCTTTCTCGTTATCTCTTTCCTTCTCTTTATCCCTTTCCTCCTCCCTTCTCCTTTTCCGTATCCACTCCTCACCCTTTCCTCCCTCCCTCATCCTCCTCTCCCATCTCGCTCCTTCCCCTCTTCCTCCTGTTTTGTATTATCCCCTTCCTCCCTTTTTTATTATTTTTATCCTCTTTCCCCTCCTCTCCTCATTTTTCTCTTCCTCCTCTCCTCATCCCTTTTCCTTCTCTTCCCCTTCCACCTCCTACTCGTCTTCCTCCTCCTTCTCCTCTTCTTCTTCCTCCTCCTCCTCCTCCTCCTCCTCCTTCATCATCATCTTTTTTCATCCGTCTCCTCGTCATCGTCCTCCTCTTCATCTTCTTTTTTTCTCTTCCTTCTCTCTTCATCCGTCCTTCCCCTCTTCCCTCTCCTTCATTTTCTTCTAAGGCTGCAGTCCATCGTGGTAATAGTAGTTATGAAGGTTATAAAGATCTAGTGTACATTATGAGACTCGCTCACTCTGACCAGGGAGCGGGGTGGGGGAGGGGGAGGGAGAGAGGGAGAGGAGAGGGGAAGGTGTGGGGGAGAGAGATGAGAGGGGAGGGTGTGGGAGAGAGATGAGAGGGGAGGGTGTGGGGGAGAGAGATGAGAGGGAAGGGTGAAGGAGAGAGAGATGAGAGGGGAGGGTGAGGGAGGGAGGAAGGAACAAAGAGAGAGATAGAGAGAAGAAGGAGATAGAAGGAAAGGGAGAGAGAGAGAAAGAAAGAGAGAGAGACAGAGACAGAGACAGAGACAGAGAGAAAGACAGACAGAGAGAGAGAGAGAGAGATACAGAAAGAGAGAGAGATACAGAAAGAGAGAGAGACAGAGAGAGTAAGAATGAAAGTGAGTAAAACTAAACCATACCTTCTAAACTTTATGGAGCGTTGCACAGCGATACAAATTTCCCACCTCGGCTTTATTGAAAGGAGTAATAAGGGTGATTATGGCGTAGTCGAATAGGGAAGCCAGACACGGGGAGAGTAGCTGAAAGGAAGGAAGTGGAGGAAAATAAATAGGTTATAAAATGATGATGATGATAAGAAGAAAGTAACAGCTGTAGAGGAAATAAATGATGATATAGAAGAACACGAAGAAATAAGGAAGAAATATGAAGGTCGGGTGCAAAGGCTTGCTGCATGAGAGAGAAGAGGAAGTGGGAAAAGGGAAGAGAAGAAGGAAGAAGAGTAAGAAGAAAGTAAAAAAGGAAAAGAAGAAGGACTTAGAAAATAAGGAGAAGAAGGAGAAAAGGAAGAAGAAGAGTAAAAAGAAGAGGAGGAAGAAAAAGAACAACAACAAAAAGATAAAGAAGAGATGGAAGGAGAAGAAGAAGAAGAGGAAGAACAAAAAGAAGAAGAGGAAGAACAAAAAGAAGAAGAGGAAGAACAAAAAGAAGAAGAGGAAGGAAAAAGAAAAAAGACGAGGAAGAAGAAGACGAAAAAGAAGAAGAAGAAGAAGACGAAAAAGAAGAGGAAGAGGAGGAGGAGGAGGATCGGTGGCATTTGCATGAGCCGTAATTATAGTTATAGCTTAAAATTGGTGTTGTTTTTGGGTGGATGTTCGTACTCTGTGTCATCCCGTTAACCAGTTATTACCTTCTTTATCCCGTTTTCTCTTCCTTCTCTCTTCCCTCGTCTTTTTTCGCTTCCTTCTCTCTTCCTTCGCCTTTCTTCTTCTTTTTTTCCTGCTTCTTTTTTGCCCTCTTTTCGACCTCGCTTCTCTCTTCCTTCCTCCCTCTCCCTCTGCCTCCCTCCCTCTCTCCCTGTCTCCCCCCTCTCTCCCTGTCTCCCTCTCTGCCTCCCTCTCTCCCTCCCTCCCTCCCTCCCTCCCTCCCTCCCTCCCTCCCATATTTTTCCTTCTCGGCGATTCTTTTGTTATTGAATTAACGACAATTTCGGGATCAAGTAATTTATTTTCGTATCGGGTTGTGTGGCCAGAGAACCGGTCGATGCTGAGGCGGAGATATTATTATTATTATTATTATTATTATTATTATTGATATTATCATTATTATCATTATTATCATTATCATCATCATCATCGTCATCATCATCGTCGTTATTATTATCATCACCATTATCATTGTTATTGTCATTATTATTATAATTATTATTATTATTATCACTATTATTATCATTATTATTACTACTACTACAAGAACTACTGCTGATGCCGCTACCATAACCACTACCACTACTACAACTACTACTATTACTACTAGTACTAGTACTACTATTATTATTATTACTACTACGACTATTACTATTGTTATTTCTATTATTTTTACTTTCACTACTACAATACCAGCAACTACTACTGCTGCTACTTTTACTTATCACTGCTACTATGACCATTCCGTCCTATTCCTACTTCTCTATTTATCACCCTCATCGTATTCCCTGTCTACGCTGTTTACTAAAAAGCCAAATTCCACCGGAAGAGGAGCCTGTTACATCTTATTTTATTATTATTATTATTATTATTTCTCGTGAAAGTGCGTTATCGGCGACATTTGAGATGAGAGATGGAGATGATGGAGATGCTGGTTAGTGTTGCCATAGTAACGGGAAAGCAATCACGGCCTATTCAAGGTTCTGTGTCATCTCCGTGGGCGAGGAAGGAAGAAGGAAGGAGGAGGAAGAGGAGGAGGAGGAAGAGGAGGAGGAGGAGGAGGAGGAGGAGGAGGAGGAAGGAGGCGGAGAAGGATGTTTACATACATGTATATATACATAAATATATATGTATATATATACATAAACTCACACACACACATATATATATATATATATATATGAATATGTATATACATATAATTATATATATATATGTGTGTGTGTGTGTGTGTGTGTGTACACACACACATGCATACATAAATTTTCTCCATATCTATTTATCTCCTCTTTTATCTTATTCCCTATTTATCCAGAAATCAGTTTATCCCCCTCTGCTTCGTCTCCCTCTCCCCTCGCCCCCCTCACCCCCCAAGCCGGCCGCTCGACCCTCCGTCCGCTTCCCCGAGCGTAAGAAAGGGAAGCCATCTGAGCCATAAGTGGTTTCCTTTCCTCATAAATGGATTAAGTAGTCTCGTCCATTTTTCCTGTCTTCGTTGCTTATTTTATTGTGTGTGGGGGGGATGGGGGATGGGATGGGGGAGGTGAGGGGGAAAGGGTTGTATTTGTGTGTGGGGGGGGAGGGAGGGTTTGTGTGTTTGTGTGTGTGTGTGTGTGTGTGTGTGTGTGTGTGTGTGTGTGTGTGTGTGTGTGTGTGTGTGTGTGTGTGTGTGTCTGTGTGTGTCTGTGTGTGTGTGTTTTGCGAGGGCCACTTGCCTACCTCATTTTGGCACTCGAGGGCCACCAAGTGGTTCGACCTGGCATTCATTCCTTTGCTTGGATGGCCCTCTCTGATTGTGACCATTCCCTCTTTCTCTTCCCTCTCCCTCTATTCCCCCTTTCCCTTCCCTTTTTTCCCCTTCATTCCTCCCCTAACTCTCCTCCCTTGATCCTTCTTCTTCGTCTTTTCTTCTTCCCCTCCTACTCTTCATTATCCTATTATCATCATCATTATCATTCCCCTCTTATTTTCCATGCTGAACTTTTTTCTTCTTCCCTCTCCCTCTTCTTGTCCTTCTTCTTTTCTCCTCCTCTTCCTCCCCTTCCTCCTCCTCTTCTGCTGCCTCCCCTTCTTCCTCTTCCCCTAATTCTTCTTCTTCCTCCTCCTCCTCCTCCTCCACCTCGCTTCCCCCTTTCTCTCCTTACACGAACGCACAAAGAATCTACGAACTTGAAAGAAATGCCATTCGGTATAACAAAGGCACAACCACCGACAATAGAGACGGTTAAATGTTTTTTCAAATACACCACAGTAACCTAATTCGCACAGTCGTAGAGTTATTCGCACGGTCGTATGGAGGTGTTTGTAAAGAGCATGTGTAGGTTGCAAGTACGCTACGGTAAGCTAATTCGCACAGTCGTAGAGTTATTCGCACGCTCGTATGGAGGTGTTTGTAAAGAGCCTGTTTAGTTTGCAAGTACGCGACAGTAAGCTAATTCGCGCAACTGTGAACTTGTTTGTACGGCCGTCTGAAGGTGTGAAAGGCTTCTGTTGTTACGTGGGTTTCCGGAACTTGTGAAGCGGTTTCGGTGAAGCATTTCATCCGGGTCACTGTCTGGGTTCAATAGATGAATGTGAAACTCTTTTTTTTCCGAAACGCTTCATGGGGGGTTTTCTATTCAGGTCATTCAAAATAAGGAAGCGAGATAACAGTTGCCTTTGTGTGTGTGACTTTCATGTATACAAATTTCTCTAACGT